GTATGAAGGTGAGGAAGCCATCTTTTTTTAAAACTAAAAAAACAACAAAAATAGAGTAATTCAAATGAAAATAAATGTTTTTTTTTTTATTGGAGCTCACAGTTAACTCTTTAACAATCCATCGTGTAAATCACTCTTAGTTCTCGACAGCATCAAAACAATGATGGGAGAAGAAAATGTGTCTCACCTAAGATCGCAGTCGGCACAAAAGGATCTGCTCAAACCCCAGAAAAAGTGCAGAAATTGGAAGAGGAAAGAGAGTAAGTAAAAGACAGGAAAAAAACAACCACATCAACAGAAAAAAAAACACTTGTTTTTTTTCTTTTGGTTTTCTGCCAAACAAAATACCAAGAAATGGATCATAATTTCTGGAAAAGCTAATTATACAGTAAGTTTAGTTGATTATAAATCTCACTGCCCTTTACTCCATCTAATCAATGGGCTGTGAAGTAATTACATAAGACACACAATTATGGATATTATTCGAAGCTTTAATTGTTCAACTCAAATCCGACTTCTCCAAGTGCCATAAAACAACAAGAACTGCAGCAGGAGGGTGGAAAAAGTCATCCTGGGTTAATTTGTCTGCTTTTTCATTTGTGAAATCATTTTTAAAGTTTTAAAGCACAGATTAAATGTGTCGACACTGGTGCGTCACATTACAGAACTGGCTTGTAAATTATATTAAGCCGGAACGTGAAACTCATTAAAACTTAAAAAATAATAATAATAAWAAAACACACAACGTTGGCTCTTATTCATCTGTTGTGACAGCTAATTTTCCATGTTTCATAATAGCTGAATTTGTCAACGTTGCTGCTCAGGCTGAGAAAAGGAGCGCTTTGTTTTCTGCATGCAGGAAGGAGGAGCCGAGGAAAGAGCTCACGTTTACCTGGGTAGTAGGAGTTGGTGGGGATGGTTGAAGTCAGAGAGTTGCCTTTTGGCAGCGTGAAGGAGGACGGCGACGATCCAACTACAGGCGGAGGGGAAAAAGTATTAATAATTGAAATATTAACAGAAGACATATGTAAAAACACACTTCTTGCTTTTTTTTTTACTGTAAAAGATCATCTGAAATGTCCTCACTTACCTCCAGTTAAAAGCTGCTCTGCAGACACAAACATTTATTTCGCTGCATTACGTTGGCTACAGAAATCCCAGAGACCTTGAGCAAACTGAATTAAAACATCTCCTGCTACGCGTGGCCACAAACCACCAGAGCTAGGTGATAATGTGTATGTTTGTGTGACCCCAAAACACCAGAGGAGTAAAATTTAATTCAATCACTGGAAACAGAGTTGATTTGATTCATTTTTTTTGCACATCCTGCCTTCATTAGCATCTTTGAAACATCCTGAATGTGAAAACACAAAAGGGTTTAGTCTCTTTTTTCCTGCTTTAATTCAGCTTTAGGTCTCATTTAGTCCATTTTTTAAAGAAGTAACACCACTGTGACAACTGCAGCAAATCCTCCAAGGACACGCCGCCCTTGTTTTTCTGGACTCTGTTTTGCTGCGTGGAGGGTGCTTATTATCCAGATCTACTCCAAGACCTGGTGTCCTCTGAGTCCTTCCTGTCCCTGCAGTGTGTCTCTCCACAACACATGTGGCATTTTGAGCTTCTGTGACTCGTGAACTGTCAGATGTGCAAACAGTACTGTTATATTCACTTTCAGTAATTTTACAACTAGCTTCACTTTGCACAAAAAGTAAGTAAATGTGTGTTTGGTAAATGATTTCTTCTTGACAATAAATCTTATAATTAGAAGAACTGGGGGGGGGGGTGGCGACCTCTGTGCCCTTTCCTGGATCTGCTCTGGTATGGCGGGTGCCGGTGGGGCCCATGAGTTTATCGCTGCTGGCCCCAGGGGCTGTGTGTGTGGTCGCTGGGGGGACAGTTCTCTCCTATGGTCTGATCTGGGGGGTGGGTGGGCGGATCTTCCCGTGCGGGTGCCCCTTGGGGCTCTGTGCCCGGGATTCCTCTCGGGCTTTTGGGCTCTGGTCTTCCCTATGTCTGCCTCATGTCTTGGGGTTTGGGTCTCCGGTCCTCCACAGTCACTATTAAATATTCCATTGGAGAAATCTTGTATATACACGCATGTTCACAACTGCTCACAGACAGATGCTCTGATCCGGGGGGTTCTGACTGGTCACTGAGTGTGTATATATGTCTATGTGTATATACAGACAATATTTATGAATGTAGGCATGTATGTATGTAAATCTTTATGTATGTATGGGTATGTGTATATTTTTATATATGCCCTCCATGTATTTATCCATTTATTTTTCAGGTGAGCGGACAGATGTTGGGTGTGTGGTCCTGTGCTTTGTTGGTGTATATTTAATATACTTCTAATCGCCATTTCAATCTTTCTATCTTTCTAATTACTTCTCTCTGTTTTTCTCTCTGTCTCTATTTTCTCTTCACTTAAAAAAAGTCACTGATGATGAAGAAATAAATAAAATAATATTTGGTTTCGTTTTCTACTGAAGTGACGAAAAAAAAAGATGCCGGGGGGGGGGGGGGGGAGACCAGAAGCTCAAAACAAGTGCCAATAACAGCAGAATAAGCTGTTTGGCTGAGAAGATTTGGTAACTTTTTCATATGTGCAACCCACATTCTCAGCTTTATTGCTCATTCCACAAAGGCATGTTCCTTACAAATGTGACACCATTTAAAAGGGACATTGACAGGTTCTCCAACAAGGTTTGTACAGTAGGCACCAGGCATCGAAGACGATGGGTCCACACTATCCTTCCAGTAGTTTCTGTAATCTCCTTAGATGTCTTCTCAACACGTTCTCACTCCCGACTCATCAACATATTGATAGGGATAGGCTGTATAGGGCTAATGGAAGTTAAATTTAAGGTCTGGGATGGTTAGCTGTCGTGCATTTCCTACTCTTTCGTTAAGAACTGACGCGAGGTGGGTACCCAACGCATCCAAAACTGGATGCAGAGGGCTACCTGACCAACCGTCAATATGTTGACGAGTCGGGAGTGAAAATGGGTTGGTTTTCTCTGCTTGATGCCAATGATTTGACCCTTCTCAAACAGACTGACATCTTTTCCACAATCACAGGATGTGTCTTTCCACATGGGTATTTAAGAAATGAGAAACAACTCATTGCACCAGTTGGGGTCAAAGAACTTGTTGCCAGTTGAAAGATAATTGCCCATGCAGTAATTATCCAATAGTAGGTTTGTGCCTATTTGCTTAGTTAAATCCAGGTGGCAACTTTTGATTTATTTTTTTGGCCAGGCTGTGTATTTTCTCTCAAAGATGCTAACTTTTTTTTGGTTTGAAATGAGGTTAGTGTGAAAACAGACTGATAAGGACAGCTTTATGAGTTTGCAAACTGCCTTTCCTCTTGTTGGGGGAAAGTCCGCTGTGGTTTAGTGGTAGAGCGGCCGACATAGGACCAGAGAGTCGTGGGTTTGATTCCTTGCCATGGCCATGTGTTGTGGTGTCCTTGAGCCAGACACACGCTCCCTAACTTCTACCCCACTATCTTAACAAGCTGCTCACTGCTCCACTTGGGTTTATCTCATGTGTGATGGGTCTCCACTCCACCAACGTTTTATTTTTCTCAAATTGAAAGTTTACTGTTATTATTTGACCATTTTTAAGGTGGAGCCTGTAAATAAATAGACGCTAGCTAAATACTTTCACATTTCTTTACTCATGTCGGCTGATAGTTTATCACTGATGGTTCAAACTGTTTCCTGGAGCCTCTGCTGCTTTTAGCACATGAAGCCTTTCTCCAAGAGCCCCTTGAGGCCTCGGCAGGTTCCATAGGACACCGTTTTGTAAGAAATATACGTGTTCAAAGACTGAAGCCAATATAAAACCACCACTGTTAAATAATATGATTTTTAGAAGGAATAAAACCATACAAAACCAGAATTCTGGAGTGGGGGTTTATTGTCACCGGAGCTGACAGGAAACCACACACTGCCTACAAACCAGGAAGTTGATCCATTTATACAGGGTCTTCAATGCCCGCGTTCGCCCCCTACTGACCTACGGCTGAATCACAGGCATTCATACAAAATTCTCACCTACTGTTCTCATAACAGTTAAATATGTGTTGTTATATTATTCGGACATGTAACTAATCTATATTAATCAAAACCTAATAGATCAAACATTGTCAACATTAAAAAATATAGTGTTGTGTTTTTAACATCAGTACTAACCTCTAATAAATAAAAATTTCTTCAGTTTGACAAAAAAAGACGGACCATTTTTAATATCTCTTTTTTTAAATGAAAACCGAATGACTAAAAAGCACACTGACACTTTTGAGGAAAAAAAAGTTTTGAAAAAAATGTGTTTGTGGCCACATTAAAATCCTAATTTGTGCTTACATGTGTAATGCAGAGCTTAACTATAATCTGTATGTGGGCATATAAGCTGCAATCAATGTGTCCCTGGACTGTCATCGTTCCATCCTTCAGCATCAACACGACTGCCAAACCAAAACGGGGTTTGGGTAATGAGAGCCGGTTGGTTCAGGAAAAGAACCTGTCATCCATGATGTCTGGAGCTGGAGTGACACTCCTGACAGTAATCTAAGGTCAGAGAGGGCAGACAGAGTCAGAAATGATGCGTTGAAATCGGCGCAGGGGCCGGTTTCGAGCCTCTCCACTAACAGACGGTTAATTAAGGTCAGAGCATCTTTGGGGGCTCAGCTCCTGGAGGGGTGCAGAGACAGAGGCTGCTGTGGATTTTTAATCTGCTGCTTTTGGCTGGGATTAGAGCAGGTCAAGCTCCGGGTGCCGTTCTAGTTCGACAAAGTATTGAGTTTAACCTGGGACAGAGGCGAATGAATAGATTTGCGTCAGGAGAACAAGTGCAGTGTCTTTAATGACTTGCGCGCAGCGTGGCGCTGAGTTTACGACCTCATGCCAGACTTCATGTGCCTCTAATGTTTACTGAGAAGCTTTCAGGTCAGCTTTGGGATTTTCAGGACGTCTTGATTATTGATCCACTCCCACCAGACGTTAACAAGCTTTACCACAACCGCTGAACACAGGAATCGTAGAGGAATTATTTTGTATAAATTACACATTGCAGGTTTAGATTTGAAAAGAATTGGACAAATAAAAATAATAAAAATAAATGGTTTTGTAAAAGAAACACCAGAGAGCTCATGAGGCAGAATTTTTTAATAATAAAAAATATCCTACAGTTTTTTTTTATTCAAATCGTTTCTTTAAAGTGAAAATAAAAGTAAAATCCCTTCATTTATTCTATCAAAGCAGTTCCTCTTCTGACTTGGACGAACTCTTGGAACAACAGAGAATTTTTGAAGCAGAGCAGCTAAAGACAAATCATTTGTACAGACTGATAAAAGTCTGATATAGAATAGAAATAAATCAAAAACAAAAGAGGTTTTATGGCGGTTCTTCATTAAAAATACATTGTGTGCTGTAATTTATTCAGCTGGATGGGATAATTGATAGAAAATGAAAAGAAAACTGAATGTTAATGAGAAGAATTTACACTTAGAGACTTCACTAGTTTTCATATTCCTAGTTTCTACAAGATTTATTTTTAATTTGTTTATAAATTCGCTCAATTTCTATTGCCCATACTGATGTTTTTCTTTAGATTTATTTCCGAGATTAAAGTTGTTTTTTCTCTAAATGAGCCATTTAACAATTGTAGTATGTAAACCGAGTGATGCTATGCTTCAAAACATTGTTTTTATGATATTATCTTAAAATAATAAACTATTAATGTAATTATCTTGAGATTAAGTTTTTTGATAAACTTGTAATATTTTGTGTTATTTCATCTTATAAATGTTTAATTTTAGAAATGCTTTTAAACGATGTTAAAGTTAGCATCTGATTTAAGCTGGATAAGGAACATGCAGTGACAGCCATTGTAAATTAGGGATGGACAATTGGTGGCCCATTGGCCAAATCCAGCCGGCGGGTGACTTCCGTTGGGTCCCTTACTTTAAAAATCACTTAAAGCAGAGCTTAGATTACTTTTTGAAAATTACAAAAATGTATACAAATGTCTCAGTGGCACTGGATTGGTTGTAATGTATATGTTCGGCACTAGATGGCGCCTTCAAGGCAGACGCTACCTCGCGCACTCGTTGAACACAGAGAGACGTTTTGCCACGGCTAAGAACGGAGGGAAGAAAACCGGACAGAGAAAATCCCAAGTTTCAGATGAAATGGGAGGTAGCTTATCTGTTCACAGAGTTTCAAGGCAAACCTGTGCTTCGTTTGCTTATGAAGGATTTTAATATGTTATCATTACGACATGTTGCACAAAGCTAAATATGAGAAGTACATAAACAACAACGACTTTTTACCAGAACCAGAATCATGCAGGAGTCTGAACTCTACACATCTTATACCGTTGCACTTCATCTTGCTATAGTTGTTTGCTTCAAACGTTTTGTATTAATATATATTAAACAGGAGTACAAATGTTATACATGCATTTGAGCATGAAATATGTTAAGTTACTGCACTGTATGTTGGTTTAATAAACACATAAATACAAACATTATTAAAATGACAGTTGTATTACATTTGGGTAAGTCTGCAGTGCTCTGTGGTTTTATGAGTGTCAGCAACAAATTGTGGCCCTTCCATAATTAAAGTTGCCCATCCCTGTACCCAATAATGAGTGTAATATAATAACTACTCATCTTCTCACTAAATCTCACGATCATGAGAAAATAAAGCTTGTTATGTTGTCATGTGGAGAGAACATGAAACCACTTTCTCCATATAACAGAATAAAACTAGTCTATCTTGTTAAAATCCAACTGATTATCTCAAGAAAATCAGATCAAATTTAAAAACCACAGCTCTCAGCTTCCGTACTCTGATGTTATCGGGTTTGTTTTCAGCAGATCAGGCTCGATGAATTGCCCCCATCCGGCTTGGTGTGTGTGTGTGTGTGTGAATTCACGCTCGGGGGGGCGGGGCCACCTTACCTCGGCCGTTGACGGTGAGGGCGCACTCGCTGCGGCCGTTGAGCGTGAGCGCGCACTCGCTGCGGCCGTTGAGCGTGAGCGCGCACTCGCTGCGCGCGTTCAGCGTGAGCGCGCACTCGCTGCGCGTGTTCAGCGTGTGGCTGTGGGTGTCCATGAAGGACAGCGCCTCGTCGCAGTTGGTCCCCTGCTCCGTGTAGCTCTTGTCCATGGAGTTGACCATCACCGTCATCTCCTGCCGGGTGCTGCTCAGGGTCTCCTTGCGCTTTTTGGCCAATTTCCTTCACGGCGGAGAGGAAGGTGGTGGGAGGAGGGGCGGTGGGGGGACATAAAAACAATCAATCAGACAAAAACAGCAGTGATGATCCTGAAATTGATCTGATATGAAGCTGGCAGCAATGACTCATAGATGTAATGAGATAGCAGGGCTAATGTTCCCCAGGCTGACATCAGGCTTTATTAGGCACCAGAGTAGGAAAAATAAAATCTGTAACTCCTTGAGGAGGAGGAAAAGGTGTGACACTCTAACCCAAATACATCAGTGGCCCCTGATGATTTAAAATTAGCTGATCGTATTTTGGAGGAGAAGCATTAAGAGTTGTGAACACTGAACTCAAACAGTCAACCTGCTTTTATTGACCTACTTCAGGTTTGATGCGTTGGACCCTACAAACAATCTGCTCCTGAGCAAACACCACTACATCTTTGTATTCACACTAAACACAAATCCATACAGAGAAACACAAAAACACACCATTAGGAAACAGATTTTTCTTTTGTGCAGCCTGATGAAACACAAAATTAGATTCAGGACTGTCTACCTGTATGAGGCTCAAGCTGCACGATCATTACTCGACTATTGTAAAACATTAAAGTAATGATCCAGAAGGTTTGTTTTTTCGTGCACTTAGTTTTAAAACAACAAACTTTCTGTTTGACTCCAGACTCTCAGACAATTGTTCTGATTGATTTTTAAGGTGTCTCGCAGTTTTCTTATACAAAGAAACCTTTCATTGATTTCTCAGGCGGCATGCTGTGAGGCAGGAAGAAGTTGGGTTTTTGGTCCATAATCGTGACCCCACTGCAGGTACATTCTCCCTATAAACAGGTGGCTTTAGTCTTATTAAATGTATGAATGCATGGTAATGAATGAGACTGTTTGCAACACATACATGGACTTAGTTGTTGGTAGATGGTCATTTAAGTGGATTTCTACAACTACTGTTTTCCCCAAAATAAGAGCATCTAACCCAAAAACATGTCCATTATTAAGATATTACTTCAACCTATTAAGATCTGTGCTTCTGTTTGATTATTTACTATGTTTTTTGTTCTGTTTCTTGTATTTCTGGTGAGTGTTCCTCTGTTGTGACACGCCCACCTGCACCTGATCCTGTTCATCCCTGCACAGACGTCAGTGGTTTTGGTTCTTTGAGTTGATCTTTCCCTGTTGGTTTGTCAGTTTGCTGCCTCAAAGCCTTTTTTGTTTATAATTAAAAGTAAGTTTGTTTTAGTAAATCAGTGCCCGAAAGGTGTTTGTCTGCACTTTTGGGTCAAAATCACCATTAATCACGACGAAACCTTGTTCAGACCTCCACCTTGTTTATGGCATCTTGTGACAAATGCAATATCCCAGTACTAGTCAAGGGGATATTTGTACATTTTTGAAAGAATACAAACTTAAGAAAAGCCCTCTGGGATTGAAAATTCAAGTTGGCCACCTTACCTAAATCCAAATGACTGAGAAAAAAAAAAAAAAAAAAAAAAAAAACGCCACCCTGGCCACCCCTCTGGCTCCGCCCCTGTGTTTAAGCAATAAGTTGATCACGTCAGCAGTAGTCTAAATCACAGCAATCTATGTTAATACAATCAAGGTGTAAAAGTTATTTTATCTCACAGCACAGAGCTTAAACATCTAACTCACAAAGCTGCTAACAATGTTCCTTATATAGATATGAAGCTGGAGGGTGCTGCACTTTCAGTTCAGCTCCTCAGACAGTATATGCATGCTGTAACTTAAAAATCTAATGTCTGTAATCCAGTCATTGTTGCAGATGTTGAGCTAAAGCTTGGTGTGATAGTAGCTGAGCTCTGGCTGCACAGGATCTTTTGTCTTAAATGTGTTTCTGTAGTTACACTATTGCAATATTTCATGAGAGTTGAAGGTTCGATCCGAATGGTTACAACTCTGTCATTTCTCGGCATGATCTCAGTCTGAAAGTCTAAAAGTGACAGGCGATCACAATTCCTAGCAATATTAGTCGTTCTTCACCTTTAATACCACAGAGGTAGAAAAGTTGTTTGCATGAAATAGTTTTACGATGTCAGTAAATCTTGCATTATAATGTCATCCTGAAGAGTTGACTCTCAGTTTTTTTGAGTCACAGAAGAAAAGCAAACAGCTTGAGCCCTGCAGCAGTAACCGTATCTGATGCCTGCTGCTGCTCTGTAGCTGGTGGGGAGCGAGTGGTGTAAAAATTAACTATGGCAACCCTCACACTGATTCTCGCACTTTGTTACTCTCTGTGTGACCTCCCCTCCCCCCTCCTTTTCCCTATTTGAAGTGAAGCCTCTCTCGTGGACAACTGCTGTCTAATGATGCTTCCCTGCTGCTTTGTTTTCGCAAATCTCCTCTGTTTATTCAATTTTGTCACTGTCTCGTGCCATATGGCAACAGGCTCCCGCTGCCTTCAAACAGTCATTTGCTCCGAAGGCCGCGACGTGAAGCTAATAGTGGAGCCATTCTTCAGAAAGCCGAGTGACAAAGTAGTGACTTTTTTTTTTACACTGGACCCACTTTTTGTTTTTTTTTCTTCCTGCCTTTAATCTGCAATTAGAGCCGGGAACAAAATGGCAATCTTGTCGCTCCTCTTTCCCTCCCCATTATAGCTTCATAAAGTAGTAAGGAGTGAGGAGGGGGTAGAACTGCGCATACCCCAGGCAATATTAGGACTGATTCAGCACTGTGTGCGCTCACCGAGAAGACTATTAGGAGCGACTAGAAGCCAGGTTTTAAAAACTGTACCACTGTTCTTATTTCTGCGTCTGCAAAAAAAAACAACAACTTGGATTTCCGCTCTCCTGGCCCGTGTGGCAGCTGAAGCGAGAGCGTTGAAGATAAATGAGGCTATGCAGACACCAGTGCCAAAAATGAGGGAAAGTGCCAGCGATCCTGGGATGTTTGTAAGGCGCCGTGGGTGTTAGATGAAGATTAATTGGCATGCTATTCTCTCCTCATTTGTGAAAGTGAAAAAGAAAATTAATGATAGAGGACTGTAATACAGGGTTTGATGTGCTGAGAAAGATGGTGAAAGGAAGTGTACAGTGGATTGTTGTGGATGTTGATGAATGAGGCCATTTGTAATATCCCCAGATTGCTGTTGAAAAGCAGCAAGCTGAAAGATTTGAAGAAATTTATAGCAGCATGCTCAACAATAACACCAGAATCTTCTGACTAAATGAATTGACTTTTATTGAGAACATGAGACAGACAGATGGCACTGGTGTTGGTAGAAAGTAAGTCTTCTGGTAGTGTTATGCAACTGGAAATAACTGCAAAATAAATCATAAACTCCTGATTGTACGTTAAAGGTGGTGGTGGGGGGGGTGTTATGAGTTTTATATCATGCTTTGATGTCATGTCAAAACATACCCAGAGTGTTGGTTTGACTCGTTCATGCATGTTTGAGAAATCCTTGAATCTCCTGTGGTAGCCATGTGGAGCTGCCTGGTATAAAGCACCGCCTATTTACCCGAAGCTCCTCCCTGAAGCTCAGTTTGCAGCAGAGCTCCCGTCCCACAGAGCACGAATAAGGTTCAAATGTATCGTGAGTTGCCATTTTCCAAAAAGCGATATTATATAATGCTGCTTCTTTTTTTTAAACAACAAATTAAAACATTCCTTTGAACAGTGGTAAACAGCATGAAGAACTGTTGAAACGACGTGCTGAAGTGGGAGTGTCGGAAACGGTAGGAGGTTCTTAAAGGGACAGAGTTCAATTTCAAGGTGTTTAGATAGACTACAGAGAATTTATTTTTGATGTGAACATTTCCATAACAACTAAAGGTAACAGTCATTTGATTGTGGTATGAACTGATACACCCACCCCTCTTTAATAAACTTTCAGATTCTTTGGGTTGATATTTAAACCTGACTAACTTTTAAACTTAACTCTATTCAAGACAACTGCCACAGCCACTTGAGCTCAGAAAACACAAACCTCAGCTAATGAGGAGCTAGAGCTTGGTGAGGTGGTAGCTTAGCATGTAGCTAACAGATAATGAGTATACAGGTGCTGGTCATAAAATTAGAATATCATGAAAAAGTAGATTTATTTCAGTAATTCCATTTAAAAAGTGAAACTTGTACATTATATTCATACATTACACACAAACTCATATATTTCAAATGTTTATTTCGTTTAATTTTGATGATTACAAATGACAACAAATGAAAATCTCAAATTCAGCATATCAGAAAATTAGAATCTTGTGAAAAGGTTCAAAATGGATGGCACCTGGTACCACACTCTAATCAGCTAATTAACTCAAACCACCTGCAAAGGCCTTTAAATGGTCTTTCAGTCTAGTTCTATAGGCTACACAATCATGGGGAAGACTGCTGACTTGACAGTTGTCCAAAAGATGACCATCGACACCTTGCACAAGGAGGGCAAGACACAAAAGGTCATCGCTAAAGAGGCTGGCTGTTCACAGAGCTCTGTGTCCAAGCACATTAATAGAGAGGCGAAGGGAAGGAAAAGATGTGGTCAAAAAAAATGTACAAACAAGAGAGATAACCGCACCCTGGAGAGGATTGTGAAACAAAACCCATTCAAAAATGTGGGGGAGATTCACAAAGAGTGGACTGCAGCTGGAGTGAGTGCTTCAAGAACCACCACACACAGACGTATGAAAGACATGGGTTTCTGCTGTCGCATTCCTTGTGTCAAGCCACTCTTGAACCACAGACAGCGTCAGAAGCGTCTTGCCTGGGCTACAGAGAAACAGGACTGGACTGCTGGTGAGTGGTCCAAAGTCATGTTCTCTGATGAAAGTAAATTTTGCATTTCCTTTGGAAATCAAGGTCCCAGAGTCTGGAGGAATAGAAGAGAGGCACTTCATCCACGTTGCTTGAAGTCCAGTGTAAAGTTTCCACAGTCAGTGATGGTTTGGGGTGCCATGTCATCTGCTGGTGTTGGTCCATTGTGTTTTCTGAGGTCCAGGGTCAACGCAGCCACATACCAGGAAGTTTTAGAGCACTTCATGCTTCCTGCTGCTG